CCGACACGTTCCTCCCAGAGGAGCAGGACTTTGATTATGTTTTTAATTACCCTGTTCGGGTTCCACGGAAAACTGAAAAGCATTTGCGAAAGACCAGTTTGCCACCTTCTTTCTTTCAACAAAAACGTCAAGAGAAGAAAACTCGAAAGACGTCACAGATAGATCGGATAAGCGAGTTGTCATCCGAGTTCAAGGTAATGTTAGAAATGCTGGATGAGCAGGTCGCCGAAAACGGCTCTGGGGTTGGTAATCTAACGCCGGAACCAGCGATTATCTCGGTTTGGGACAAGCTCCCTAGAGACGATAGGGGTAAAATCGTAGGCATGGATTATCGCCCTAAGAGATGCTGGTGTACTCGATGCATGATCATGTACGATGTTTACTGTTCTCACAGTGACGATTTAGATCACTGGGGAGATTATCCTTGTCACCAGTGGTAAGACCCGGTGGACACACACGCGCTCACACACACACACACACACACACACACACACAATAGGCATAATCGCTTTATAGACCCCAAACGTTTTTTCTAGGTCATTCAGTATTGCGGCTAGAACTATTACGTGAAGATACATATAACAAGTAAAACAATATAGCAAGTCTAATCCAGATTTTTATCTTACCAGGTTTGCAGGGGACTCATTCTAAACTGGTGTTTATTTTTACACTCTCCTGTAGTTTATATATGAGTATAACAAAGACATAAAGCATGAGGGCCGAAATTTTGGTGCAAACTTCCCCAAAAATTTAATTGTGATTAAGATACATTTCCCTTCTTGATACATTACCCAATGCCTTATTTTAGATACATTTCCCAATCTATAGACTTCCTTATCTATTCCTTCATTCAAAACACTATACCTAAAAGCATTATCGTCGTATTATATATAGTCCCGAATGATTTTATTCTTTGCCACCTGTCAGCATTAAAAGCTCCCGGCCATAGTCTTGACCATAATTCCATTTTCGCAAATAAAAAAGCCTGAAGTATGATAAATTGAGAATTACAAATAGTTTAATATTATACATTTATGCACTTGTTACCTTTTAAACGATAGTGTTTGCTTTCAGCACAAAATCGGCCACATTTCATAGGATTGAAACGAGTCCAGGAAAACCTTTCCACTAATCCAGATAAACATTACTGGTTAATAAATAATCACATAAATTGAGTAAAGTAAGGAATGGAGGAAATTAAGCAACACAAGCTCTCGTTTATTTGTTGGGATGGGTCTCTCTAACAGATAAATATTGATTGATCACTCTGGATGTACTGGTGCTGACGCACTGATTGCATGTATCTTAATGCAGCAGTCGCAACCTTTTGAGTAATTACTAGCTGGCATGGATATAAATGCTCAAAAATTGTATAATAGTGTCTGTTGCTAACAGATTAGTTGCAGGCAGAGCTCGTTATCCATTGGTTTTGAATTGTGCTATATTGTCACTTCCTGTATTGGCTGATCTTGTTTCTTCTCTCCTGGCCTCTTGTGACGCGTTCTTTTGACTAAGTCGATGTACCCAATGGTCGATTTCACACACACACACACACTCACACACACAAAAAAAAAAAAAAAAAAAAAAAAACTATAGCCCAAAATTTGGCATACCCAGAAAATGCGCTCGTGTTATAGATCAGGCGCAATAATTCATACTCCCGAATATGTTCAGCCCTGTAGCCAAGGGGGTTCTTTTTCTGAAAATTGGGCCTTTTCTTTTTGACCAAATGCTTTCAGGCTATAGGTCTTTTGTAAAACAGGAACCGTTCGGTCTTTTACAGCTAAGAATAGTAAGTTTTCATATCATACTACTTATTTTAAAGCAATTATCAAATTGGTTTTAATGCACAAATGTGGCAAATAGTATAGTGTCTTTGTTGTAATATGATATTGCGTTGTCATCTCATGTAAAACGGATGCCATCAAGTAGATCATCAACATATTTAACAAGTGTTTGAGATGCACTGAGTAGATAATGCCAGATGATTAGATTTTACATGTTGTGTACACATATTTTATCTGACATCGCTAGAACATATGTTGTATTTTCTGTTATAAGCCGAAGCTAAGTAAAATCTTGCATAAGGTCGTAATTAGAGATCGCTTCATGTTTTTTTTTTATACCCGAAAAGATCTTTCGAAATCTGTTATCAGTGACAAATGCAGAGGACAGTGCATTTAGAGAACCATTCTTTAAGGGGTCTCAAAGGTAAATATGATCAGCAAATCTTTGTTCATCTCCATGACGTAAGACCTGTTTATTCATATCCGTATTATAGTTTTAAAATCTTTTCGTATAAATATTCATTTATGTTAATCTGTGCTCGTTTTGCTATAGAAATAAAACTTTAGTAAAATACCGTCTTTGTGTCTGTAGTTTGCAACAATGTCCAATTAAACATTTCAGCATTAAAACAAACGTGAGGGAATTAGGCACGCCTTCTACATGTGTATAGCCCTGTCCATTACAAAACAGTGGCTTGGGTTTCCATGGCAGCTATTTTGGACATAATGTGCCATTTAATTAACAGCAGTATGCCAGTATATTGTTGAACGTACCAATTAAATACCTTTAGCATGCCTTTATTGTGAAAAGCACAAATAGACGGAAAGGAATTCTTATTCCACACAATTCCCTTTTGCATATTTTAAACAACTAATCATTCCTACTCAACCATGTATGTATATATATGAACCAACTCGATGGTAAAAAATAAACATCTATATCTTGAAAGTAAAAGTCCACATAGAAAATAACTGACGCCGTAAGCTTCTGGCAATGCTGTGTTATAAATTAGCTTAGTTAAGCTCAGTGCCTTATGCGACTGGCATATGATTCAGTGTGTTCTTTCAAATTTGTCACAGGATGCACAGCACATATTATAATATGCCTGCAATCTACAATGCTCCTTTGCTCTTGCCGTAACCAGCTTGCAGAAGAATTTAGACTTGTCGCCGTTACATGGTGGCTTCGGTGTTGTTGGAGCAGCTAAAAAAAGCAAACACTGTATAAAGATCGCGCAATTTACCAGTTCATAAACTGTTATTGCTCGGGAAATTAATCCACTACAAATATGAAAAGGGATTCTCATTATCTCTACATGGTATGATAAAAGATACACTGTATGCATTCTTGCCTTAGGGACTAGATCACGAGAGTCTATAGTTTTGATCCACCATTTGTGAACCTTGTTTGGCCTTGAATGTAGCACAGGAGCCAAATGTCGTGAGCTGATATGTGAACGAGATCGCGCAGACGATTATGGCGTGTTTTAGCCTGTAATTTCTACAAAATATCAGTTAAGTTAAATAATGGGCCAAACAGAAGGATTTTTATAGTGTGTTATTTCATTTATTATTATTGTAGATTCCAAATATAAACAAGGAGTATTTTGATCCCCGCAAGCTATGAGCTTCGTCACAAAATTTCAATTTTTACGAGGTTACATATTGTTGACAGCTATGCCTCGCTTTCGAGTAATTACAACTATCAGTTAAAACGAGGAAGTGAAGTTCAACATGTTACATGTATTTCGGCTAATTTCACCCAAACATTAAGGTTTTCTCATTTGCATAACCCTTATTTTAACCTTCTCACGATTTAAATGCATTTTGAAATAATATTTTCATCACCTACCCCCTCCCCTACCCCCGCACAGAGAATATTTTCTTTATTAAGAGTGAGGAAAGGGATATTTCCCGTAGGATAACATTCATCACTAAAAATACAAAGGGAATCCCGATAGAATACAGAAAAAAAACGGCATTTTTAACAAAGTCTGGTGGATTTAGATTTTAATTCATACCGGTGTAACATGACAGAGAATCCGCTTCCCATTCATTTGTGCAGGTAAGCCTCGCCCTGGATGTTGACCCACTTAGGTCAGGCTAACCCTAACCATTATAACTAAATGGAGGGCGGATTTCGTGTTACACGGATCCTCAGTTTCGTTACACCGGCACATTCAACAAAAATTTCCAATATACTCTTCCAAACGACACCAGAAAACAAATTAAATCAAATCAACCAAAATTAAATTAAATTGTTTATTTCAGAGAGCGCGCTTTACGCTCATGCGCAGATGTTTGACACCTGTGCTCGTTCACAGATGGCGTATCAAAACGTTGTGTATGACTCTGGTTATCTAGTCTCCAAGTCAAGAAAAATTCTTTTATAATCTATTTAATTTTAAACTGTGATATTTGTCTTATAAACATACATGCATGTATGCTCTTCTGGTACATTGTAACAAACATCGGCATTTGTGAGACGTAGGGCCTACTGGAACACAATATGTGATTTGTACTACAATTTTGACAACATCTTTACTCACCGTCACACGACTCCAGTTGGCACTGTTTAGAAATAGGTGGTTTCTTTCCAAAGCAGGAGTACGGTATTCCATAATTTGGTGTAGGGATGTCACAGAACACGTCTCGTGTTTGCTTCCCGGTACCACAAGTTACCGAACACTGTGTGCATGAAATTAAATAAGTTTGGATTTGAAATATGGGGTGTGCTTTCACTAATGGTTAACTGTAATAATATGTTTATAAAGAAAATTAGACATCAATTTTACACAAACGTGTATACATAAATATAATTTATTGGGCACAATTAAAGAATTTATGTGGGATGAGATTATCAATGTTAGACAAGCTTCCCAGGGAGCTTGGCTCTTGTAAACATGTCATTAAGTGTACTTTTACTACATGGTATACTGTGGCACAATAGCCAACGAATACCATAGTCTAAAAAACTCGAGAATGAAGAATTTTGATGTCTTTTTGATTGGCCTTCTTCAAAATTGCTATTGCCACTGTATCGACAATAATTGCACTTAAAAACACGATAAGTAGTGTTAAAAGCTATATGTTTGTCACCAATAACAGCTGGTAGTGTATCTACATGTACTTGAAAATTGGAAATTACTGGAAAATTACTGGAAAACTACCAAAGACGTCAGAAAAGGTCGTTAACTGTATTTTTCTCGACAGCATCAAGGTCCCTGGCTAAGAAACACTGGTCGCCAGAGTTCATTGCCAGGGTTTTCCTGTAATTTGCCTGTATGTTTTGCAGAATACGAGTTGTTTTGATGTGGAACCAGGTTTTAATACGCTACCAGTAATATGTAACATTATGTCCATCCAGGGTGCAAAGGGAAATTCTCTAACTACCTTGCCGAATCATATCATGGCTCCCCTCCCCAACATTTCATTCAGTGCAAAATAGCAATCCGTCCGCCCCCCCCCCAAAAAAAAAAAAATACACTGGACGGTGTCCTTTCTGCGTCCTTTGTACGACGACGAAACTGGCATCGCTGTGGTCGTAGAAAGGAGGCATAACATCGCTTTGGTTGCAGAATGAATGCTCAATGATCGGCTAGCTGTCAGCACGTAAAGTATTTTTTTACTCTCAAACGGGGCCGTACTACGAGACGCAGAATGGACGCCGTCCAGTGTAAAGGGGGCTTCAGTAAGCGTTATCGGGTACCCCTGGGTTAAAAAAATGGCATACCTGCGACCACTTGGTGGTTCTCCATGGTGCCGGGCATGCCACACGGTTGCACGGCTGTTTATCCTCGGGTTTCTCCTCGGCTACGCACGAGTCCGCCCTGGTGACGACTTCCTGTCCGCCGTAAACCTGAACACAGTTCACGAAACGCTCCTGTAAACCGTTGTTGCCACATGTCGCAGAACAGTCACTCCAGGTTTTGGTTTTCCATCTAATTAATATATTATTATTATTATTATTATTATTATTATTATTATTATTATTAATTTCGTCATAACTAATCTAAATCTGTTGCTGATATGTATAAATAAATTAAACAGGCCTACTTGTTCGAGGGCTACTACCTGTACTTGATCCCTTTCTGCGTCTTTTCCTTACCATACCAACCTACATTCACACTTTTGCCAAAAAAAAAAAATCGACAAACTGCATAATATTTGATAATATTTCATGATCATGATTAAAACACAATTAAAGAAACTATACTTCTAAGCGTAAACATGTAGTGTTATTTGAACCCCCAAAACACCTTACTTGTAGGAGATGGGCCTTTCTGTTGTTGTGGTTAATGGCGTGGTGGACCTCGGGCAGTTGATTCTATTACACGGCTGTTTGGCCACTGGTTTGGTTTGGTCGTAACAGTCCGTAATGTCCACCTCAGTTCGTTTCCCAGTGCTCGGATCCACTCTCTCACAGAAAACGCGCCTTTCGTAAACGCCCGTGTCTCCACACGACGCTGAGCAGCGAGACCAGTCTCCATAGGACCATCTGCAAATGTGACGCCACAGTAATTGACATAATTAATAATCGATTAATGATTGTAAAGGGTGGACCAAGGTTGTAATAAATGATCACAGATCAATCATTAATTCACTTATTTTTGTTTTTATATTACACTCTCCTAGTTCATTTAAAGTGCAGTTTAATCATTATCAGTGTTGCATGAGATATTCGTATTCATTTAATGCAAATTCTGTTCGATTAAAACGTATCTTTGGTCAAATTCAACAGAGTTAATCGCAGCATATAAATGTATATACATGTAGAATATTATAGAAAATACAAAAAAAAGCTAGACGTACAAGACGTAGGGGCAGCGCCTACGATTACAAGCTCGCGTAGCGTCTGGCTTCTCGTTACCATTGCAATATATGTTGTCTGTGATCGACTCTCGGCCGGTTTCAGTGTTTAAACGTAGACAATGAATGTGGCGATTCTGAACTCCGCTGTCTCCGCAAGACTGAGAACACCTGGACCACGACTCCGTGGCCCAACTGAAGCACAAGCACAAGCTGAGATTAAGGGAGCCAGGTACACGCTGTACTGTGTACACTATGTTTGCAGGCGCGTAGCCAGGGAGAGGGATGGGGGTGGGGGTGGGGTTTCCGGTGTTCAAACGATCCGCCCTTTTTGTCAGAAAAAAGGGCTGCTCTGTGTAAATTTGGATCTAGGCTTCATGGTTCCCATTTTTTTTAAGAGAAAGACTCCCCTTCCCTTGCTGGCTACGGGCCTGGTTCGTTGGTAAATAAGTTGGAAATTGCCGTTTCTAAATGCAATATAATGCGCAATATAATACGGAGATTATCATGGTTCTTGAATAATAACAGTGTTGACTATCACTGTTAGTTTGCCAGATGAATACTTGTATTTATCTAATAAAACGTAGGCGACTTTGCTTTAATGATACTAAGTCAGCTTTCCATGGATTTCATAGGTGAGTATGGTGTCCCAGTAGCGAGTTGAAAGTTGAAATCCTAGCTCACTGATTAATCTATATTGTTAAATGTGTTAAGCAAATAAGCTCTAGCAAAACGTTAACTGTTAATGATAATACGGTTCAATAATTCATAATTAGCAGATAACATAATGTTGGAATATTACACCCAATCACATCTCAAAATGATTCGATCACAGTTCATTATGAAAATCAGCAAATATATGTTTAATATGTAGACACCTGCTTTTATGGACAACTGTATGGAGTAGCAGTAATGCGCACCTGTATTCATAATTAACCGGGCAAGGGTTTCTATTGCAGCCTTGAACTTGGTCTGGTTTGCTTGTTTCAGAACAACGTGACACATCGTCAATATGTATTTCTTCGCCACTTTCCATGTCTCTTCGTTTGCAGAGTATTTTTCTTGTTTGAATTCCATCGTCTCCACACGAGGCGGAGCAAGATTGCCAATCGCCGATGTCCCAACTTCAAGAAAACGAGAAAAATTGAAATGATAAGAATTGTTAAGTTTCAGATGAGGCGAGTATATGCAAATGAATATGAATATTCATATGAGTACCGGTAGGTAGGCCTATATATTTTTGCAAAATGTTGAAATTAGTAGGAAAATGGTAACGTAGAACGTAATCCTTAAATCCCACTACTTCGAACAGTACTGCTTTTTTTCTTTTAAATCTATCTGAGAGTGAATATTCATTAAAGCATATTTAAAGTAGAGACCGTTTCTTTCAAGTTAAAAAACAAGAAAAGAAACCTATAAGTGTAGTTGATCGGACAAGGCGATAGGTGGCAGTCTTGGCGTGAAGATGGCTCGTCATCCGAGTCGCAGTTAAAGGGGTTAGTTTGCGTCTCAGTTCCAGTCCGCCCGTCTATCTGCCAGCAGTTGACTTGCCTATCCTGCACGCCTCCATCTCCGCAGGTGACAGAACATGCCTCCCATTCCCCTACCTTCCAACTGCATATGAAATAAAAAATCGTGCTGCGTTTATCTTAAACCAAAATTATTATATGATTAAGTGTTAAACTCCATTGTTTAAACATTGTATAATTAACATCATTTTAATCAAATATACGCAATGTAGTGTATAAGCTGCAATAAGCTATATATTTTTGTACATGAATTTGTATATATGATGAGTTATGACTTTGTTGTTTACTTGGTGCCCTTTATTGTTATTTCATTTTTTACCAAAGCAGAGATTGGTATGAATTACAGATGCATGAAGACTTGTTGCTTGTGCATAAAATCAAAAAGGTGAACAAGTTGGTGCTGAACCTGTACTCTCAATAATTGAAAAAGAAAAAAAACACCCCTTATCTCTTCATAACTTGTGCATATGACATGTTTTTCTCATTAAATTATTATCATATCTGCCCTTACACAACTTGATCCATAACATTACGTTCTGGAAAACTCACTGCAATTCAGCCATCTGTTGACAGACATACTTCCACATACATGTTTCTTAATAGAACCCTTACATTAAAGACAAAAACAAGGCCCGTTGATTTTCCATGTTAACCAACATCTGTCATTCACCACAACACTTACAGATAGATATTCTTAACTGGTTCCACACACGGAGCAATGGAGCAAGGCCTCTCCTCCGCGGACGGCTTTTCGCCTGGTTCGCACAGGTCGCTGTCAACCTCTACCTCTTCTTGCGAAGAAACCTTCACACAGAGGACAAACTTTGTCTCTATGCCCTCTCCGCACGTGGTGCTGCATGGGCTCCAGCCTCTACTGACCCATCTAAAACAATAAGTAGGGCATTTGTTGCATAGAGAGTCTATCGATATGAATAAAACAATAATAATATTTTTTCTTTTATTTTTTACGTTATGATGATTTTTAACTGACGAAAATGTATAAAAAACAGAAAAGTTGCAGAAACGGGAAGTTATTTGCAATGGCCCATGTGTAAGATAAGTGTGTGCACTTAACATGTTTTACCGTCTTTAAATAAAGTTTATTATTATTATTATTATTATTATTATTATTATTATTATTATTATTAAAAATATAGACAGGAATGCGAGGCGAGGCTGGAACGAGGTTGCACCTGTAGATGAAATACTCTGTGCTGGTCACCATGGGCGGGTGGGTGGGTGGAGGTAAGGTGGTGGTGGTCGTCGTCGGGGTTGGACACGGAATCTCACGATTGCATTCCCGAATTGTCTCCGGCGGTTCTATGTCAATGCACATGGCATGACTGGTAGCGACATCCTCCCCCTCATGACTGATGAGGCAGGCTAAAGGTCTTGATTGCAATCCCCTACCACAAGTTTTCGTACACTCGCTCCAGTTTCCTGCGATCCACCTAAAGGTTAAAGAAAGCAAAACAAATAAAGAAACGCTATTAATTTGAAAAAAAATTATAACAAAAAATATCACTGTTTTGACGTTACGATGCATATCTCAGGACTTACATATGCAATCTACGTCTGATATGAGTTTGTCAAGATTGCAGGTGAGGTGAGGCAGTACGAGCACTTAGATTTCCCCCAGATTTATTCTCTGTTAAAGGATCCAAGGGAGTGTTGCGCCCCTAGTCCCTGTTTGATCAATCCCCCATATGAAGTGAGGTGTAAATACTTATACAAATAACTCGTATTTCTAGTCGTATTTCTAATCATGAAAACGTAATTATAATCATTGCAAGTGAATTTTTCTAGTCTACCACGCACTAATCTTAAAATATTTAACTATATGTGTCGTGCGGCGCGCATGTGTAGTAGTCCCTGATTGCTTCTGACTTTCAAAAAAAAAAGGTAATCGGACAGCTGCTACAACGGGTGATTTTAGAGTAGATACCGTATTTTTCCCTCACAAAACTTACATGTATATGTTGATTGCATAAAGCATCCTATGAAAGGCGACCGACAATTACACTGCCTCAGTGCTGGCGGTCATTGGCTAGACGAGCAACTACTGCTGCTGTTATAACTTGAAAACTTGCAAACTTATATGTACAGTTCTGTAACTGAGGCAATCGTCTTGATTTTTTACACCTTTCGAGAATACATGTACCTACCGTGTCTCCGGACACCCAAACTGGTTGCAAGGCCGCAAATCTGGGTCCGGTTTTTCTAGATGAGAGCAGTGCGATTCAACCACAGCCTTTTGGTAGTACTTATCTTTACACAGGTAAACTATATGTTGAGTACCTGAATATGAAAAGCAAAACGCATGCACGTGAACACAAAACAATCGAATTGCCTATTCGTCCACTTCAATTCTCCTTTCCCGCGAATTACACCACTATGATTTGTTTAATCAACGCCTTCCAGATTTAAACCCCACCTGTAGCAGACATCAAAATCATAATCTAACAGACGAAAATAAATTTTTTTATCTAGCGCAATCCCTTATGATTTTTGAGAAATTATAAAAAAATGTGATAACACATGTAGGATTTCAATAACAGTGTCAACATGCACGTTAAAGCTAATGCAAATTTGTAGAAGATACTATAGAGATACAATGGGTCACGTACCAGTTCCACACGATCTGGTGCACTCGGTCCACTCGTCGAAGCGCCAAGTATACCTGTCATTAAGGACACTATTGACGACATTGCTGTCGGGCAAGTTGACAGGCGTATGGTCCTCACCAATCAAATTATCTTCCTTCTTCGACGGGACGAGTGTGCCTAGATGTAAAGTGTCCAAAACTACATCCTACTTGAAATGGTGTTTCTAATGCTGTCGCATACTAATTTACAATATGATTGCCTTTGCACATCATTTTAGTGGCTATGTTTTTTATTTATCTTCTAGCAAATCACACACAAAGCGGAAGCAAAACAAAAGGTTTTGTGTTTTTCTAAGCCACAACATCAGGAATATCTATAGGATGATTTTTATGATAAATATGATAAAACATCCGAGTTCTTCAAATCAATTTAACGCCCACCAAATCCGGTGTGTAAAGTCAAAAACATACCGATCATGTCCTGCTTACGCGGAAATGTCGCTTGTTATAATTGCAATAACACAAAAATTATTGAAATTGTTATTTATTGACAGATTGGCAATATACGCAAAACATTTTAACGTAAACATCAAACGTGTCTAAAACGTTGACTAAAATAACAGTTCAAAAACAGATTTGTTTCCTGAAACCGTGAACAAAAGTAAGCTATTCCGTTGCATTTTTTTCTTAACGCAACACTTTTTCTCTCAATACTTTGGGTGAGATCACATATGATAGAGATAAACATCTACTCACGTAATACCTACACGGCCCTCAGAGTCCTCAGCAAACTAATGTTGTTATTGTCATACACATAGTAACCAAGTGTACAAAAATGCAGCATTGCACGATTAACTTGTAGGGGAAAACTAGCATCTTAAAACTGCTTTCCTTAATAACTGCTAGCATAAAAACACTAATTATTAAATTATGCCTATCGAGTACAGCATAAGAACTTCGAATCTGATCTCTATAATGAAATGTATTCTGCCGCCACCAATGATGAGTAAAGACCCTATTGAATACTCCAATATTTAGGTCGTTGCATTATTTGACCGTTTTAATTCTCTTTTTTATTTCAGTTCATTCAGTTCTGTTTAATACAGGGCATATCTTTCCCACTGCTTTCATTTTAGGCCCATGTTAAAACTTAAGTAGTTATTTTAAAAAACCACCAGCAAAATCCACACCTTTTTAAATATTTATCACAAACCCAACTTAAAAATACATTCAATCTAATCACAGATGCTTTGTGAAAGACAAAGGCAGTTTCTTCTTGTTACTCAGTCACAATCGTCATAACATCACAATGTACATGTACAATACAAGTACAAACAATACACAAATTCAATGGGAACACCTCGACCTTTTTTTCGAGAAACGCCGAGCATATTCCAATTGACACAGATCCAGGCGTGCATGACAGTTTATTATGCAGTCATTGTTAGCTAAGCACAAAGAGAAGAGACTAGTTTGTAAGGCACAGTTCCAGATTTTTAAAGGTATATACGTATACAAATATATGTATTTATATATGAAGAAGTAGAGTGCATTACAAGCTGTTGCAAAACTACATGTACAAGATGATTAGTTCCCAGAAGAAGTGTTCCTATGATTAGTTCCTTGTTTCATTCGCCAGGTTATTGCACGTTCTACAGCAGAGTCTCTTGAAGCCTGGAAGGGCGCAGTAGCGTGCTTTAAAGGGCTTTGTGGCACAGAAAGAAGACTTATCCCCGGTGCAGCCTATAGAGAAAGAGAAGTGTTAAAAATCTATTGTCTTCTATATGTGTACTTTAGAACAGGTGCTATCTCCTCAGGTGCTTCTATTGGGTTTCGTTAAACATGCAGTTTCATTATTTATGTTGGTAGTTTTTCATGTTGCCTAAGTCTAATGTTTGCTAAAAGCACTTTTTTATAGTTTCGGAGGAAGACACCTAATTATCCACACATGTTCAGCACAATGAATCCTTGTTATGAATTATTAAATATTCAAATATGTAAGAAAACAATAGACGATAAATATATAGAAGCCATTTACACCGCCAAGTTGTATCACTATAGCATGAGAATATACTTGTAAATCCATATTTATTCCTTGCAAGCACAAATATAACATATATAACATAATATCAATAGGCAAGACTCTAGCAATTAGACAGAAGTGCCTGTCTGGTGACGTACATGTAATATCACACATGAAAGGGAGCATCTTGGATAACGCTTGCTCGTTTACAGACTACATATTTGTTTTAACCAATTCTGATTACCATAAAAAGAAAAAAACAAAACAAAACAAGCTCAACAAAATGTTACTTTCAAATTATCTGAAGTAATTAGGTGATTGCTAACACCCAAACATTAATTTCAGAGCATGTTTATAGAACAATTCAAGAAAAGATATTTTATTGCAGGACGATTTCTCTCACACCTGACGCTTACCTGGACATGGTTTTCGGTGGCAAATTTTGGTGTCCGGGGGTCGCCTACCGTTACAGTTCTCAACGCCTCTAGAGTCTTTAGTATCACAGTATACTCGTCGAGTTTGTACACCCGTATCACAGGTTGAGGAGCACTGAAGTATTAATTGAAAAAAATGATAAACCAGAATGCGCCATTTACATCGCAACTCTAAAAAATCCGATCAACATATAAAAGACGGCAATTTAATAAGAGACGTGAACATAAATATCGGGATTGAAGAGTGAAGTAACGACCGGCAAAATTACCCTTTGTCATATTTCATTTGATCAAGCGAAGCATGTCCAAGGGGTAAAACACTGGGTTGGTAAAACGTTGGTAATACTGTAACTGTTGCCAGAGAAAAAAGAGAGACTTCAAGCAGTAGGTCTACAAAAGGGCAAATTATCAACCTTTCTTCAAGATTCATTGTGAAGCTATAAACTCCCTGAAACATGTTTTTGCCACAGCCGATACTATGAACATGAAGTACGAAAAAGTAAAATCCACGGAATCATTACTGACAGCCTTCAAGATGTTTCAACATCTAACGTTCAGGCCTCCTCAGTTCTCCCACCCATTATAAGTTGTGACTGAAATATGGCATCGTCTACACTTAAACTCAAAACCCCTATTTCTAACACATATTGGAGGGGGTTTGTTTCAACCTAGTAGATCTTGAACCAACTGTGTATGTACCATACCTACCTTAGACCACTCTTCAGTTGACCATTCTCCTGGGCAAGCCCTCCTGTTGCAAGGCTTCTCCTGTTCTGGTTTGCGCGATTTCTTGCAAAAATGTGGGCTGACTTCTTTTACTTTTTCTCCTTCGTTCTTCGTGCAGCTAACAATTCTGATTTGCGTTCCTGAGTTGCCGCATGTGGCGGAACATTCCTCCCACGGAGACGCTTCCCACCTGTAAGAAAGCAATATTCAGGTCATTGTATAATTGCAATGAAAAATATTTCGACCGCATATTGGGCTTTTCTCAAATTCATATGTGCCATTTTTTTAAAAGTATTTATTATTCGTGGTGTCATTGGAGGACAGTGCTTTCAGATCTGCTTGGAAGTAATCTGAATCAAAAGACCTGGCTGCCTTTGAAAGCAAACTGACATTGAAGGCTACATTCCCAAGCACAGTATACATGTATGAGAACAGAATCACACTTAAAAAGACCACACGGTGCCAAAAACTACCACTGCCGTATTGGACTTGTCAGCTTAAGTACACCATCAGGACACGGGATTCATCCCAAAGCGCAAACCCATAGTCTTTCGAGACTGACGATGCCAATGAGGAGTAGAGGTAAAGCAATTCTAGTAAGCTTCTAATTTAGTAACACACTTTCGGAACATCAGTACCAAAATGGCACAGAAGAATCTGTAAAAAGACCTTTTACCCTAGCTGAATTAGGCTTTTGCTAGGAGTACGCAAGGATAAAGTATGCTATGCAGATATAAAGCAGTAGACGATGACTACAATACGTATGCCACAGGGGTGAATAAATTCCTGGGTTTTGTCTCTTTCCGCTTTTGGGGAGAGGAAGAAGGGGGAAAGTGGTGCCTAAGATGCTAAGAAAAGGGAATGTGCTTATTGTGCCCTCCACTGGGCAAATGCTATATTTCTACCGAATAAAAAAAAGATAAAAAAGAGTATAAAAATATTGGGGCCCACCTTGCATCCACACATGGCGATTTGTTGCATTCCCTTCTGTAATCGTCAGGTTTTTGAACGCCGGCACATTTTTCAGCATCGGCTTTCAAATTATCATAGACGTCTCTGCACTGATACTCAATGTGGGTAGTCCCTAGAAAAAAGTAAGTTATTTAAGGGTGCGACACGCCCACTCCCTCCTAGACCACCACAGATACCCCTTTAGTACGTGTTTATTTTCTACGGTTCTTTTAAGAATGAAAAATAATTACTAAAATAATCCTGAGTGGTTATATTCCTTTATATGCATTTTTCTAACCGGGCCGAGGACTTCTGTTAGAATACCATTACATGGCAACCTCATCTACTTGTCTCTGCGTATGTATGAAATATATTCCTTGTAATACTATAACAATATGGATCTCACCCAGTGGGGACCCACCATGCTTACCTCCTCCGCATTCCTCGGAACATTCCGTCCAGTGATCAAACTTCCAACGATATCGTTTTGACACGGTCCCCGATATTTTGTTTGTTTGTTCCTCTTTGGACACCGTAAACTGATAATCTATGTCCACGGGGGTGGGGGTATTAGAGTGCATAGGATACACCTATTTAGAAATAAAATAAAGGTGAGTCATGCGTTTATATTTATAAATATAATATTCGTTCGACTAAATGCTTATTTAATTTTCGGCATTCAACATTTTACATTACTACGTCGCGTAGAATTAACTGATAGAATTTTATTTTAAAAACTCCTGCAATACTAATAAATATATTTTATTGATAGTTTTATACATATTATTTATGCACGATATCCGTGCATCAAGTTCAAACAATTAACACGTTTACAAAGCAGAAAACTCACCATGACAAAAAATTCTTCTCCAAGCGGTCCGGTGCCCTTAATGCTCTCGGTACGTGCGTCGTTAGTGTAAACAAGCCTAGAGCCATAGGCTATGATATCTTTGGTAGAATACTCCTGCCGTTTCTTTCCGTTGAGCAAATATTTACCCGTTTTACCGTCTTTTAGAGCTAGAATCAGAAACAAGGTCCGTTAAATAAAAGTTCTCAGTTACTGATGTCCTTAATTTAAAAAAAAATTGTTGAGATTTTTAATTTGGTACTATTTCAATTGAATGTACGAATATTACTGGAATAATACCGTAGCCATGTCATCATTGTCACTGACTCACTGGTTTGTATTGTTATTGTCACCATGGCAACTCGATTTCAAGAATAGACTGCTAACTTCTTACCAAGAAAGTGTGCCGAATATACTCTTCGTTTGATCTCGATGTTCCTAGATCCTTTAGGTAATTTTACAACAGTCCTGTACCCTGTAAAGTGATGAAATTACATTCAAATTAAACATCTCAGAAACCGTATACATACCGTAACGTATTCATACCGTATACATACACTGTGGTGGAGTAGAGGACAAGTGCTCCCCCCCCCCCGCCCCGCCCCCCCCCCCCCCACACTCACACACACACACACGCACATAAAAGTTTTAAGTTTTTTGTAAATATTTTGGTATCTTTAAAAAGTATTAAAATTTTCCTTTCTTCCAGTCAACCAAAAGCCTCTTACTTCCCCTTCAGTCAGATGAGTAATACCGGTTGTACAAGTACATGTAGGTACTACTTACATAACCTTCCACCCTCCCCCGCCCCCACCAAGCACTTCTCTCAACCTACGGCCTGCACGTGTTACAAAAGTAATAATAATAATAATAATAATAATAATAATAATACAAAAATATAAGTGTTTGGGGATCTGAGGTCAACTTACCATCAGATTCCCAAACACTTATATTTTTGTATTTGGGGATCTGAGGTCAACTTACCATCTTTTGGTGTTTCCTTGTATTTGCCTTTCACGTCTCTGCAGTCCGATCCCGTACCCTCGCAGACACCGCACTTATCAGGTTTTTTCTTGGAGCCTTGAATTCCGTCACAACCAAACTCCTGAATAAATTAAACAAATAAATTATCCAAAAGAGCCTTTAACTCTTTTTTACAATCAAACTCGCGGAAAAGCGCCCATACTTATTTTTGAAGGGCATTTGGGCTCTGGGGTTGGTTGGAGTGATTTTTAAAATCTGGAGATTTTTAAATGAAGTCAATAATTTTAATAAAATTCAACGAATGGCCAACTGAAGGGAAGAGAGGCCGTTAAATGAAAAGGTTGTTAAGCAAGGCCCTACCCTGCACTCTCCATCAATACACCTGTGGTATGGTGTTTCATAGGTACATGGGGTGCCATCTGGGACATCTTCGGAGACGACAATCTCGCCAGATTCAACAGATACACAATTCAGTTTGCACTGGTTAGACTCTGAAATGACAGACAAAGTAAAGAAATGATAACTATTCCTTCGCGTTTAAATAGTTTAGCGACGTTGGAATAACTTACTTTCTGTATTACTTTAATAACATTTAGAAAGGTGTTGTTTAAGTATAGTAAAAAGCAATTCGTACTGTATTTGCTTTGGAATGTCGCCCATGCATGGTGTTTGTTGTTGTGCCACGGACTTTTCTTCTTACATAACTCTGAACGAACGTCTACCAGTTTTTCACATTCCTGGAGAGTAAACAAAAGTACAATTTGTAGAAGGCCAGTAAAAACAGATTGTTTCAAATATAGTAATTGTTCCTATAAATTCAATTGATCTTTTTGGAACCAAGTCCGTTTAAATTGGTTCAAGTGCGATTTATATTGAAAACACGTTTCTTTAATAACAACATATCGACACACTTACATTTTGATTGCATATTTCGTGCTCTGTATCAAAGCCTTCACATTCCTTTGACTTTCTGTCCGGTCTGAAACAATCAAATGATATACCAATTAAAATCAAATTTCACAAAATACGTAAATTTAAAAAGAATGAAGCATAGTAAATGAGTAAAATTTGGCATTTTCATGTCAAAGTAACAGTACTTAGATATCACTCGGGTAAAGAAGGGCTGATACATGTGAAAGTAAGATCTTACTCAGGATTGTCACATGACCGTGACCTCAGACGTATCCCTCCGCCACAGGTCTGTGTGCAATACGACCACTCCGACCACGTGGTCCAGGCGCCGTGGATGTCTACATCCTCAATACGACTGACCGTGCTGGTGCCCTTTGGCTCGCAACGTTCATTCATGCACCACTGTTTTGATGGCAAATGGGGAAAAAAGAGAAAAGATCAATTTCAGAAAGAAAACTAGAGAAAATGGGAAACACATGTTCATATTCTTGAGTGATTTTATCATTAAGCAAATACAAAATTTACCAGTTTGATCGCTTCAGAAATGTTTGTATTAATCAGAGATTTCTAAAACGACTAAAAAGCTTCTGTAATAATAGGGTAGGGTAAATGATAACTTTCTGGGAAACCTCTAGAGGGACAAGTGTGTTCAGAGGCAAATGGGTCAAAAAGTCCATTTCTGGGGACAAATTTGAGCTTCGAGGATTCTTCGGGTCGATAATTCCACCAATTTTGGAAAAGTATACACACGTGTAATACACGTAGTAACTATATGCATGTATATACCTGTGGTGAATAGGATTGGGTGAATCTAAAAAAAAATTAATAAGCAGGGGTTTTCTGTGGCAGAGATTGATGCTTAACACACTATTAAAACATCAAAACAGCAATACACACGTAGCCAGGTTTGCATTCGGTCCCTGGAAGGGGTGGTCCTTTCTTGGTTTTACAGAGTAAGGGGTTGTCATGTGTAGCACACCACAAATACTGGCATGGATCGACGTGATGGAACTGGAAGGGGAATATATTCCCTAATCAGATCACAAAATATAACGCTGTAATAAGGTTGTTAAAATGATACTGTTTATTGAAATCTTAATACTGCCGGCATTAAATACTTTTAAGTTTCCAAAGAGATGCAACAAATCAATGAGCATTCATGTTTACTGATATATCATTAACTCTAAAATTTAAGCTTTTAGTAAAAATATGTAAGTCATTGCTTTGGAATATTCTAAACCACAATTACTCAGAAACCACGTGTCGGCCCTATTAATAGGAATATATATATATATATATATATATATATATATATATATATATATATATATTAGTAGAATATGGTACTTACTGCTTTGCAAAGGCCGTATCCCTCTCCAAACTCCTGCCTGCATTGTTCATCCATATCCCAGTTCTGGCCCATGGGATCAGCAACACTAGCCGTCGGGGGCCTAAACGGGTTATCATCAAGGCAGGTATACTCGCTATAGGATAGAAATGATACTGGTCAGAAATCGTGAAACACCAATTGCAACATGCAAAATCTAGAAATAATACTGCTCAGGAATCGTGAAATATCAATTGCAACATGCAAAATCTACGTATAGGGCCTATTGATTGTGTTGATATCATTGTGCGCCATTATATGCTATCCGTGTTGTGTAATATTTAAAACATATTGATTTTGGTCTGATCATTAAGTCCTCAACGTCTGTTTTATCCATTCATTACATCATACGAAGACAGCGAAGAAATTGAAAAAAGGAATCAGAGGCCGGTTTCATAACCTACTGAAAGCGAAGTTTTAGTTCGTGCGCGCTGCAAGAGGACCAGTAGTATCTTGAAAATGTCGACTGCACTAGAGGTGCCATGATAGATTCTCCACTGCCATCACAGTTGTTTCCTTGTCCATCGTGCAGCATTCCAAACCTAAAAGTAAAAGTAAAAGTGAGGTCTTGTGTAAGAGAACCTGCAATTTGCTTATTTGCAAAAAGTAAAAAAGAGATGAAGAAGAAGATTAAACCTACATCTCATAGATAATGCTTGATTTTGCCACACGTAAAAAGAGTCCAGGTAAATTCAGACAACACGGTTGACCATCTCATTAAAAAATCAACATCAGTTTACTCAATAATAGCAATAATAGCAGAACTCATACTATAATGTTGCACAAGGTTACTCACACGTGACCCGTCTCGTGGGCCATGACGAAAGCCGACGTCAGACCATCATCTTTAGTGACTGCGCAACTGCGGTCTGGCTGGCACATTCCTGTTACTGGTGCGTACCCTGGATGTGGAAGTGAATAGAACTCTTGAATTACCATGCATACAGTCTATGCCTGTGGTCTTACACTGTTCAAACTCATGCAAACACATTTAAACAAACCTTTAAACGTTTCAAATTGTATTAATTCGTAGAATTTCAGTGTGTTCACATGAAAACAATCTGTTTGTGTCAATAAGTATACGATTCCTTCATTGGACTATTTCCAGAAAGCTGAGTTTTCATTGTTTAAGCACAACTCTGTGAAGAAAACATTCCCTGGTCTTCATCTACAGAAAGGTAACAATTTCAAGCAATAATCGATTGATGGTTATCCATTTTTCATTTGAAAAACGTCAACTTATACTCACCGGCTGGTCCTAGATTGTCCCTTGTCAAGTAGATGGCGTGATCATGGTTCGTTGGGTCATTTGGATTCCGAGGACGATTTAATTGAACCCACTTACAAAACCTGTCTAGGGTATGTCTAGCGTTACCACGGTAAAGAATTGCATTAGCCTAGAATTACAAAGAATACTACTTATTACGTCTGTTCATCTTTTAAGCGTTTGATCTTACACACCAGCGTAATAAGAATCGCTATTATTTTTTCGTGTTGACTGCTTTTCCGTTTAATTATGAAAACACAAAATTAAATGGCAGGGCACGAAAGAATACCAAATGAAGTGTTCTCAAGATTAAGTTTTTTATTAAATTCTATGAAACGCGATGCAAAACAATAGAGTTACCCACTGCTCCATGTACTGTGTGGAGTTAATAGGTTGGAACAAGCGTAACCAGGTTTAAGGCTGCAACAAATTTGCCGAACATCTGCCTCGAGATCATATAAGTGCAAGAACCGCAAGAACCAAGAACCGTAAAGTCTCTTGCTTGGTCAACCACAAATATGATCTTTTCCACCATAATTTCTTTAACGATTGACAGTTAAAACAGTAAACGAACAAAAAAAACTGCACATTGACCAATATTACAGTGGGCGCCAAGCGTCACGTATATTTTGTCTGGGTCGTAACTAGAGACTTTTGTTCCAAAGAACAGAGCGCTTTTGATTCTTTTATACGCTGTGTTACTCTGTAGACGGCTCTAGAGCAGAGGGATAGAGTGATCACCATGCTAATACATACCTGATAAGAATCCAGAAACACTACCCTGGCCACCACGACGTTGATGCGCACACCCAAAGTATTGTGGCGGTAAACCGAGTTCATCTAAATAGAGATAAAACAATGTTTACAAGATAAGTTAAACTGGGATGAACTTATACTTTTTAATGTGTTTATGCCTGCAGTAACATCGGTAATGCCAGCCTTTGGAAAAGCATATGATAAAGAAAGGGATGTAAAAAGCAGTTTGGGATTTTGATATGCTTCATACAGAACTGCAACTTTCCTTTTGAAGATAACTGAGGCATATGGCAATGCAAACCTTGAGTTTAAATCTATAAATGAAAGGTGCTGTACAATTTATATAAAATTACAAGTTTGAATACTGTTATAAGTATGAAAAAAGAGATTTTTAACTGAGAGATGGACAATTTGGCTTTGGCGTGTTTCAGGTCTCTCTGAACTGAGCCATTGCCTACAAAGGCCTCCATGATCTTATAACTTCGCTTTGTTTCTTATTCGCCTTTCGTCTGGATATAGCATGTTACAAGGCACAATGTGTTTTCTGGGGGAACCTTGAATTACAAAAAAAACTGAACAGCACTTAAAAATCCAAGAAACGTCTCGGTCTTTTGCCAAAAATCTATCAAGTAAACGGCAACTACCCTGAAGCCTGCACTAACCAAACAAGCATATGATTTACGAAGATGAGGAGCATTCCTCACAAATTACTTGTAAATTGTATAAATGTTAAGTCTGTACGCATCTCAGTGCAGATTTGTGCTTCTTGTTAAGATAATTTGCAGTGCACTGGTTGATGCACTAACGTTTGTGAACAAGGCCAACTGGGGCTCAGTGATTGCAGACGTGTTACGAAAAGTATACCGTTTTGACCGACGGTATGCAATTGTATTACACCACTCAGCCAGTGCAAAGCAGGACTGTTAGGTAAGAGTAGCCTCACCCCCTAACCAGGGTGGAATCAAAGCCCTACATGGATCAGAAACAATTGGAGTTGTCATTTCAGGGTGAAAGGACACCACTCCATAATATATTAGATCTGCCAATTGACTGCGCTCAATTGCAACTTAATCAATATAAAAAGTAGATCGTACGTCTAAAAAGCGGAAGAATTCAGCACAGAATTTCCTTCCTATGAGTGCGTGCGTGCACGTGCGAATGTAATCTTTTACAAAAGCACACCATAACCTTTATTTAAAACATAATACTTTAATATTGATATCGCCGGAAACGATCTTGTTCTGCTTACAGTACAACAACCCTGACGCCTTGCCAATTACTTTCAGTTAAAAATGTCTAAAGAAAGTGATTATTTCCAAATAACTTACAATATTCATCAACGTTAGTAGGTAGGTTTTCGCTTTCTTTTTACTCCCATGGAAGTCTACGACGCTTTGATCGGCAACCAGCATAATTCCCAGATATTTGTCACCGTATGCTCTCTTCTTTCTTCGGTGCTTGTCACTGACTTCATCTGAAACAGCTAAACAACCAACGTCTTTGTAAATCTAACAGGAAATTAGAAACAGAAAGCTTAGCACATTATGATGTACATGTACTCGCAACGAATTAAAAGTTAACCTTTGGCAGTCAAATATCCAGTATAATGGCTACCTTTGTGCCCAGTGGCCTTGCCTTTTGGGTGAGGCAGCTTCTTAAGGACGTGAGGTCGCCCCTCTTTAGATCTTGAAGGCAATGGCTGGACAAGGTATTCTTCTTCATCTGTCCGAATGATTCCAAGCTGGAATCAAAAGCAAATCCTTTATTCAATTTTTGTGAAGACAAAACTACTTACAAAGTTATTGAAAATGCCGACACCAAAGCTACGAGCGTTTCTTTACTGCCATATAGGTATCCAGTTTGTAGAGAAAAACAGTACAATAATTTTCTAACTTGGTTTGCTTTCAGAACACTACAGCAACTGTATTGTTTTATGTTTTAGTTCAATGATTCCATTCCAATTCTCACGTGTCGAAAACACTGAGAATTTTTTAATGGGGCTTATGATATATCATATAGGCGGATCCAGGAGGCACGAGGGACATCCATTCCCTATTTCCCCCCCACCCAGAACCGAAAGCTTGAAGCTTATTTTATCTTTTTTAATTTCTGGTAGAGTTGCCAATAACCAATTTCTTCTTGATTTTCTGGTTCCGTACGTGTACGTAAAAATGATTGTCCGTTTATTACATTGTTGTGACATGCTATTTTAATATTTTAATTTTATCAAAATATTGATGTTTATTTATTCCCTTTCAGTCTCATTAAGCCTTCTTTGATTCTGTTGCCATCAAAATTAAATGAAAGTCCATCCTTTTCATCAAAAGCCTTGTACCAAAATTTACCATAGCTACTTGAGTTTGTTTAAATTGTCAACAACTTTCCTGTGACCCCGAAATCTGATAAGCATCCCTAATAATGTACCAGACTAACTGGATTAATCTTTACAGCTGGATTGTAATTGCTCGATTTGTGAACAGTCACTGCCGTGTTCTTCGTGTCTGATTAAGCTTTAAGATCAAATTGCATCCTTTGGTGTTATAAGACGTTTTAAAACAATCAGCTGTTGACAACCAAAATCGTATTACGATGTCCAGTGTTAAGAATTAACGATATCTATTACTACTTTAAATAAACCTTGTTTAAAAAGTGTCCAAGTTCATGAGAATTGGTGTACTTTTGGATGTGGAATATTTGATTTCGTTATATAACAAGCCAAGTTTTCATTTGGTGTTAACAAAGACAATCAATCAACAGGCATGCATGGTGGTCGCGACAAATATCTCACGACAACTGCACAGAATTTGATTAAAATCTAAACTACGAAAACCTTTCGTCGCTATAAGGTTACGCCTATGGAGTTGCACTGGAAAGCACGTTATTCAACTGTGCATTAAGCCAAATCAGGCAATGATCTTTAGTGCATAATACGTGTAAAAATGAAAATGAAACAAAGGTCGTTTACAAAATTCTCGGTTTTTCGGTAGTTTTTTATGTACAGACACAGATTATGTATTGCAGATGTGCTTAAAGACCTTTGCTAGTCACATTTTCAGAATATCCATGATACTTATATTTTATTATTAAAAATTGATGGTCATTACGCTGTTAAACATTATGTAATATTGCATTAAAATTGGAAAAAAGAAACTATTTTGGGCACTTATGACCATTAAAGGATAACCATGTTGCATATGATTCTCAAAATTAACGGAAAGGATCGAAGGACTGAAATGCAGCTTGAGTTGGAAAACCAGTCTCATTGCATTCACTTACGTTGGCAGTGATTATGCTGTTAATCATTATGTACTGTATCAAAACTGAAAAAACGTCTTTGTGCACTGCCACCACAAACATTACGAAATGAAAACTGTGTTACTTATTATTTTGTAACTTGAATGTAACAAGAATGATTCTTAGGATTGACATACAGCTCAAATTGGAAAACCAACTTGATTGTTCTTCAATTGATGCATTTTTTTTTTCATTTTTCTCATTCTGCATTTTCAAAGCGTGGACTTGAACACTCATGGGGTTGAAGCCTTATGCTAGTTAGTTGCACATTTTTCTTACATCGGTATTTCCTGTTGTGCATAATTGATATTTGGTGTCGACTTTGCTATTAATCATGTATTAGTGCATCAGATTTGACAGTATGCATCGTTATTTTCTACTTTTTGTCTGTACATTTAACAGCTTTGCTGCCTTGTTTAACGCTGTTACATTACTTCTAAAGACAAAAAACAAAACATAAAAAAGGGCAAACGTTAAAAATCTATCATTGACATGTGCTTCGCAGTTAGCCTGTCGAGAACTGTCCGAAAAACAAGAAGGAAAAAAGACATTGACACAATCGTTCAAATTGAGTTGCAAATTGGTAAAACCTGTACTTTGTGGTCGTTTTGAAAACGGTTGGTTTGAAGAGTTTGCAGTATATACTTTTGCTTCAGCGACATGAATTCTCTAGTTAAGACTCACGAGGCAACTGAAAGGAAAGGAAACAAGACCTCAATAGAGTTTCAGGGTCTTGCAAAAAAGAGGCTAAATGATGTCAAAACAGGTGTCACTTTGGACGTAACATAACAGGATTCGTTGTACCTAACTGGCGCTCTCTAAGCAATCTTAGGAATAAGGGCGGATTTTAAACGTTGATCAAAGGAATAAACGGCCGTTTAACGGTCATGTAATCGGTTCCCCATGAGCTAAAGCGTGCTTCATCGTGATCGTTGAACGTAGGAGGTATATTTACGTATTATTTATGTCCTTGTCGGGTCAAAGCAAGAATCCTCAACTAGTACTGTGACCCCGGGAATGAGCACCATGAGGCACCTGTGGAACTATATATTTTAGCAGATGTAGAGTACCTCAAGAGCGGAAAAGATCAATATTTCCCCCTATAATTCACGGTGACAGTTCTTCGAAGCAAAAGGGATCAAAACAATAACAACCCCCGAGTTCTACAAGAGCCCCCCCCCCCCCCCCCTCTACAGAATTAACAAGAAAGTACCGAAAGGGACAAGGTACTTCTTTCAACTGTGGACGCAAAACAAAAATGAACACGTGTTTGGTAAATCTTACGCCAAGTGTACCGGTACAAAATATGTCTTACCAAGCCGTCACAAGTGCTTAGAGCCACATAGGAGTCATAGCTGTGTTCCACGTGTCCCTGATAATAACAGTCCTGCTGAAGGACACCACCGAATGTGACATTGTCTTCCTTAGATTCCAATATGGCTGATGGCGCAATGAGATCGTCCGTTTTGAAGAGTGAAAGTAATACTATTTCTCCTCTCACATTAAACGCAATATTGACGTCTTCGTTCTGGATGCTTCTTTTGCTTTTGGTATTATGGCCTCCTTCCTTGTTCGGGTTTACCAAATTTGGAATGTTTTGCAAATCACTGGAGAGAAATCTCCCCTGTAAGTCACTGAGGTATGGAAGAATGATGTTAAAGTCAGTCGTGTTTTCTTTCCTTGACAGAATATTTCTGTATTGACTCTCTGCTTCTGGAAATGAAAAATGTCCAAAATTAATACTGGCAGCATAAGAACTCTTGTGCATGCAAAACAAAGAAAAACAATAGTATTGTGTTACCACGGTAGGAAGGGCCTACGTTGTCAGTACAAATATAAAACAATTTACTTGTATCACTTTCCTTGTCCCACACATTGAATGTTGTATGATTTAAACGTCCAACAAACCCAACAGTAAAAATTTCGTTGTTATCTGGCAGACGGCGGTGTATGGTTCATTGCCAAAAGAGGTGTTTATTTCAGAGCACAGCTCAATTTAACACTCCTAGAGAACAATAAGAATTTGTTAACATCATAACGGTTAACTGAATGCAACTCGACATTCCCTCGATGCGTGTGCTCTTTAGATGGGGTTAATGGGTAGTCCTTTGTAAACGAAGTGGAATCGGCCGATTTTCTAGGCATTATGTTACGAATCCTTCCGCAAAACAAAGCCACTGTTTGACCCTGTATTGTAATTAGATTTTCTGTATTTGCCTGCAAAAGATTTGAAGCATTGTTTTCGAGGCCCTCCCAGGGTAGCGGCGTTCTGTTGTGATTGTTAGCTCATGTGGTGCCGAGCAATAGCATTTTGGCCCAATTGCATGTTTCAATTAGTATCAAAATAATAAGACTCTAATTCAATTACGCGTCAGCGGTGCGGGTGTGACCTTTTTGAACCTATGTTCGATTCCTTGAGAACAAGATCGAAAGGTCAGCGGCCAAGGCAATAAATTTGCCATGCATTGCGAACACTGATATAAAATGTCAATTCCATATATTTTCATAGATGAAAGACGGCATTCTGTGTCTCTACATGGCCGACTGGTGTCATAGTGGTAGGGAGTCTATCTGAACATGTGTGCATCTGTCAGACCACCTGGGTTTTATTGACCCCTGCCCATTGCCCACAGAACCAATTTCCGCCTTGATATCGGCCCTGACCCCCTAACACTTTATGGGTTTATTTCGTTGCTCTTATTTTTTATTTATTTTTTAATACTTAGCCCAACTTGCGAACAAAACGGAAGTTATCGTCATAAACAGCACCCATTAACTCAGAATCCCAGGGTTTCTATGACAAAAAAGTGCCATACCCATTTGGTGTCGCGTTAAAACCGGAAATACATAATCGTTCAAGGTCAAAGAGTCGACATTCAAAATTTTGTTTTCATTGACACAGTTACTTGGAATAATAAGCTTTACCGCAACAAAATTGTTCGCAGGCGACCGAAATACAATTTCCAAAAACTTTCATCATTTCTTTTTAGTTCCACCCAAAATAAAATGACTCATTTTCGACTGGCCAGTTGTATACACTTAAATTACTATTTGTTTATTTTCTCACGGACAACTAAATGGTAGTAGTACTCTAATTTTAAAAAAATAACCGAAGACGCATGCATGCTTACTGGTTTACCGTTAATCTACTTGTTCAATGAAAACCTTTTTTCCATTTCAGTGGAAACCTTTTTTCCATTAAGTGCACGTTACGAAATGAGGGAGGGGGGTTCCAGAGTGACCTAAATTTGAAGGGTGAAAAATTGAAATCAACAACATTTTAGGCGCTTTTTTAATGAAAACACTTGGGTAATCTAAAGCTTTTGAATTCCCTTAAAAACGCATCTTTGTTTAGAATAATTCGTTGCTTATTATTTCTTTTTCATTTTTTAATGCTTACTTTTTTCTAGTATTGTAAACCAGACAAGCACGTGCGTTGCAGACAGATTTCTGTTTAAGTGAAAGGCAGCAGTTCTTATCCATGTTTCAGACGCCCCTGGTGAAGACAGCATTGTTTTGATCTACAGAACCATATTAAATACGCACGTTTTAAACGATATGCCTTGGTATCGGATTTGCAAACATTGCAAAACGTAAATTATGAGGTTGTCGGTTAACTGAACGAAAATACTGGATAATATCACGCGAATTGTGCTAAGGAGCAAAACCTTGTTTCCGGAGAGTGACTAAGCTAAGGGAAATACCCCAAAGGTGCAAGAGTAGTCTAGACCGCTCGAACATGCACTCTTTAAACAAAATATACCATCAATTTACCTACATAAAGTAAGGCGGTCCTGTTCATCGCAATTTCCATGCAGGTGCACGACAAGCCACTTATGGCACTTAAACTAAGGAATCAGAAATATATTCTTCTCGTAGATAGCAAGAACATTTTGTTCGCCAATACGTTTTGCCATGGATGTGGTATGCTTTTCAGTTGCCTGTCGGACAGATTCAAAAATTAGGGAAGTTTGTAGGTGGACAGGGGCAGAAGCTTTTAAAACCCCATTTGGCTGTGCTTGACAAAAATAAGGGCGGCCCATCCTCCCCCCCCCCCCTCCAAGCTCTAGGTCTTTCGAGCACCCAGTTTGATACATTCATCAGACTCAGCCAAAGATTCTACCTGTGGCAAAACGGCCTACTCACCTCTTACTGCTGCTGACTCTGACGCACTGCCGATAACCTGAAAAGAAATTGTAACAGTTGCTATTCAGCACGTGGAAATAATAAAAATACAACTTCTACAAGCAGCCGATCATCAATGATAGTGTTTGGGTTCCCTCTTACTAGCCGACAGAACAAATATTATCTTGTATATGCTACATGCAAAAATCCACGACTCCTAGAAGATAAGGAGGAGTTTGTATCAACATACCCACTGTTTACATAACAAACGAGTATTTCATCTCATTGATATCTCTCTAAAAGTAAAGACGAGTTAGAAGTTTTACGTGTTAAAACTTAACGAAAAAAAAACTCTTGGAGTAATAAAAGCCCTGACAAAAAAATCACAGCTGTTTTATAAGTTGCGGCGGAGTGTTTAACTCTTTACGACTGAGTCCCACCAATACAGCTTTTAAGCCGAGAAACGTCAATTAATTTATAGCATAACGGTTAAAGCATATTTCCTTTCCACGGAAGCGATATATAAGAAAGGCTTTAAAAAGGCTGGTCAATGAAATAAGTGAGAAGAGGTCAACACACAGGTTCATTTTGCTTTGTTTCTCACTCGTTTTACTTCAATAATAATCCCCGCTCATCGCTGAAGGTACAACTCAGCAGGACGGTGTGTGTTTACTTTACGTACGTCGAGACGTTTGGTTATAGACATAATTCAAAATAGTATGGGTTTCCCAAAGTCGAAAGTGTTTGTCTAAGAGCTTTCCCTGTTAAATGTCTATGGCTGCGATTGCTAATTTAACGTAACCGATGGCAGTTCTCTTAATTATAGGGGTTTGAATGAAGCAGAAGCATTTTTATGGCTTCCAATTTCGACATTGATGACTGCATTGACAAGTCGGGTAAACGCATCAAAATACAATAGCATGTAAAGTATAGCTTCTTAAGTTAAGCCTTCACTGAGTGAAAAAAAAATGACTGACAAAAAAATCGTGGCGTTCAGAGTCATACAACTAATTAGGTAACTTACCTTACATACGCCCTGGTCTATGAGGCAGATGGTAACTACAAAAAGATGCAGTAAACGAAAGTTTGAAGGTCCCAGCTGGAACGTGTTTCCAGAGCTATTGCGGTCTGTACAGTGTTTTGCTGGCCTGCCAGGGGCTTTGCTTGTTTCAAACATCCCATCGACAGTCGTCTGCTGCAAATGTCCCCGTGCACACATTTGACGCCCTAGCGCACGGTTCTCACTGTGGTATCGCTTAGAACAGTTTGCACAATCCGCCTTGCAGCTGTCATTTCTCGTGAAGTGAGTTGGTGTTTCTTGAAAAAAACTCCCAGTGTTTTTGGTCGTCATCGTTCTGAACAGTCGAAAAGAGGGGAAATGATGCACTGTCACGACAATAGGCGGTCATCTAAAGATCCCCGACCCAGGTTGGAGCCCAAAGGTTTAGAATCCCCTGGGTTTGTACCCCTGTCTCTCTCTCTCCCTTTCTTCTCTCCCCGCACACACAGTGAGAACGGCAGAAACACCAGTCAGGTCTGCGAAGCCAGTGGTAGCACTGCAGTCATTTATACTGGAAGCTCCAGCCGCCAAAGGTCAACCAGTGAACTTTTGTTGTCCGTCGCAATCTTAGAAGCGTGCGCAGCAGATCAACTTTCAAATTGCAAAACTACAACACAGACGCCGTAGCAGCATGTGCATAGAAGTTTTTTTTTCTTTTACGCAACCAATTCCCATTCACAAGAACAAGTGTTGAATACAACGTGACACAAATAGGAGGCGACTACCACATACTATTTTGTTGACTAAACTAATCCTTTTTAATGCATTTATATTACCCACGATGCGGACTATGGTGTGCCATCAATTCTTTTCACATTTGTATTTAAGGGTCTACCTTTCAAACCCCTGAAAATGATTACTCCTTCTTGATTGTGCCGTCCCTTCAAAAGATGGCAGCGGAAATACGCAGGTCTGTAACATTAGCTAAACTCGTCTCATGTCACTTCTATTTTAATGCTTGGGTGTTGTCAGGCATAATCCACGTAGATTTGCTCTGTACTTTTAATGGATATGCATTAAGGCATAGAGGACTGCCTATGCGAGAAATTTCACTTCACTTTTGTATTGAAATATATGGCAAAAAAACATTGGATCTTTGTGCGCTACTGTTGAACTTCATTCATCGTGCCATTTTATTTTAAATATCTCTTTAGTAATATTCACCACTTTACTGAACACTTATTCAACCCTGAAACTTGTCCTTAACTCAAACCGCAATCACACCAAAACGTGATGTAAAAAAACACATTATCCGCGGGTCTGACAGTATCAGTTTCAAGATGCACGACGTTTAGATGTCCGTAAAACTATGTTTTCTTCTCCCTCTTAGTTGTTAACATCCAAAGTAATCATCATCAGAGGCGTACTTAAAAATCCGCGTATAGTAAACATGATTAGAAGTATAAAGATGATTATCTTCCAAGACGATCTGCCTGAATACTATTACATTCAACACTTTGGGAAGGACAAGTTTGACGCAATGCAGAAACCTCCTAGGGCCTTTCCCGCGTTTTATTATTTGTAGTTTACGCTTAGTGCAATTTTATTTAGTTTTGTAGATCTAAAAGATGGCCAACTGCTGCCTTGCGGTAAACAAGGAAGAACAAAGACCATCCTTGTTCCATCCTTGTGTTCCTAATGTTCTTTTAAATTCAAAACAAAAGATCGAATCATACTATTGGTGCATCGGAATGCGGTCTCCTGGAATCGGGGAAAAGGGGTTCCACAACTGTAACTCATTCCAGCTCTTCACACACCGCTGAATCTCCAGGAATTAAACGTCATTTCAGCTGAAGCGAAGATGCGCCAACGTTTCATGGTAGACTACCTTGCCAGTTCAGATCTAACCCAAGCACTTGATTCCCCCTATCAATAACCATACTCGGCTCCCGGGGATCACCCGGCCGTTATTTATTCTTACAATCGTGTTTGTTATTCATCTGATATAAAAACGGCACGCATTTTAGATCAATCCGTGTGTCTCGACATCAACGACCGTGTATAGCCACCACATGTGTGCACTGGAAAGTTACCAACTTTTTATACTAAAAGCTTTGAATAATTGGGAGCAAGGCATGAAAAAAAAGGCGTAACTCAGCCCTGTTCTCGAGTTCAGCTCATGCTTTTGTGACGTGCAAAATGTTCTGGCGAAAAATCTGAGTCAAACGAGGCCGGGGTCCAAAAAGGAAGAATAAAATGTCCTAAAATTAAGATTAATTGTCCCACACGAGCTTCACTTAAAGGCGTAAACACGGCTTCACCAACTTTCTTGTCCTTAGGAGTGGTTAGGATGCATCTTGTTTAATTTGATTCAAGGGGAAATTAGACAGATACCCTGTCGGGGAGAGCTCTTACCGTGTCCTTACCTGTTCAGCTTTTTTACCGGGTAAACTCGACAGGTAAGCTCATTAACGCTGACAATCACCAGAAGATGGATGACTGAGGCTTGGGCTACACTGGGAAGTGAAATGTTTATGGCGGTGCTTTGTGTAAACATGACCACAAAACGTTTCCAATTAAGTACTCACACAGAAGAGATAATGTTGATATACAGAAAACTGCTCGTATTACGATTCCTACGTCACGCCCGAAATTTGAAATCTCTCAAGAGCTCTCTAATTAGGCAAATGATTAAAACAGTTAGCACAAACTAAGGGGGGTATCTTTTGCATCAGCAGCCTTAATTAGTTAAAAAGAGGGCGGGGCATATGTATACGGATATTAATTTCTTAATCAGTAGCGACAGAACTGTTTTCTTTCATGGAAATTCCAACAGAAAATTATTTTGCGAGTAAAGCCAATTAAAGTACGGATCAACTTCTAGTTAAAAGAATTATAATTCATCTCATAAATCAAGCTATATGGAAATTACCTCTTATCACAGGTCAAATGAGGTCTTAAGTTGCTTCACCCAAAAAAAAAAACATTTAAGTTCATGTACTGGTTATTTTAAACAATAAAACGAGCTAAGATTGAACGATTTACACAAATCCACAATAATGCCGAGGAGATCCAGCAGTCCACAATCAAATCACTGATTAGCCGATTAAATGATAAATAAAAAATAAAATGATATTTAAACAATTGAACGATGGCCGTAGTATGGGCAGCAAAGCTGCAGCTATGCGCTGTTTCTATTTCACTTTGTAGCTCGCGCAAGTTCCGCAAAAATTCGGGCGGAATGTTGGTCTTCATTTTAAAATCTAATATTTTTCCTTTTCGAAATGAGACAAAACCAAGCGACCCCCCCCCCCCCCCCTCTC